GGACGCCCCTTATAAATGTGCATATACATGTACAGATTAGTTAAACACAACATTTTTATACCCACCACTGTAAGATGGAGGTACAATCACTTTGTTTTTTTCCAAAATATATGTAAAAACTAAAAGGAACCTTCATAGACCCTCTACAAGATGAAATTCTGAGTTGATTTAGCCATGTCTGTCCGTCTGTGAGTATGTGTGGTGTGTGTTGTTGGCACTCTCCTGGTCGCAAAAAAAAAAAAAAAAAAAAAAAAATATATCGACTTGAAATTTGGTAGAAACTTTGGAAGTCTTTACACGCAAGTTGGTATTCAAAATGGGCGAAATTGTTCAGTGAAAAAGCGCGCAAAGGAGCGTAAACGGAGCGCAACTCAGTTTTCTTTAACATAAATTTTTCAATTTTTGCTCGTTACTCAAAAATTATTAAAGTTAGAAGACGAGTAACTAAATTTAATTTTTTTTCACTTTTTTAAGATGTAATGCTTATTGATCGTAAAGCAAACAAGACAAAACGTTTCCAACTATTTTGTACTCTCCTCAAATGAAGATACATTATCGGCCTAAAAATGGGTTAATTTTAAAATGAATATGGTAGGCACAGGGTATGGGTATCAAATAAAAGGGCTTGGAGAGTAGAATGCGAAAAGCATAGTGGTGGGTATGCGAGATTCGGCCCTCGCCGAATATAATATTCTTACTTGTTTTTTTCTTTTTTGCATTCTATGCATTGAGGTCGAAATATTTTGCCAAACTAAAGTATTTTTTATAATGAGAGAATCGCACGGAGGAGCGAGTACCGTAAATTGTAGGGCTCGTAAGTTGTTTCTCTTATAGAAATGCAATAAATTCCATTTTTGTTTCTTCTTAGCGACAATTTCAGTTTGTTACTGTTATACACTCACATGAGTGTAATTCAATTTGTTCCAAATGGAATATGTTGAGTCACTTTAACAGATTTCCTTATTGCGCAATATCTATGCGAGATTGCTATAGCTCTTCAGCGAAATGCTTCAAAATAAAACTATGGTATAAATATTATACGATAAAGGCGAATAACTATATCTAATGATCGATTCAAGCTTAAGAGTTTCAAGAACAAGCATATTTTTCTTTTGAAATTTATTTCCTCTCTAATGTACTTTCTCCACTTAGAAGGCATTGACAGTAGTTTAAGTTTTTGATTTATTTATTTATTCATTGTCTATGTATGTAATGTATTTTGTAAATAAATTGACAAAGTATGGATTTAAAAGGCTGCCAGATAACTGAGACCATATTGCTCGCCTCTATTGAACACTTCACCGCAACTTGGGGATTAGAATCCGCGACAATTAAGCTATTGATCGCGATCCTTTGCCTACTCGGTTACTTATGCCGATTTTATTTTCATTTATTGAACACACTATGAGACTTAATTTGTATAATACATATGTATGCATGTATGTATGTATTCTAACTTGATTTGATTTTTATTTTTATTTTTATTTTGGCGATTCTTCGGTGAAGTGGGCCTTCTTAGCAAAGACACAACCCCTACGTATACAAACTATATTCATTAGAGTAAATTACATTTTAAGTCATTTATTTATCTGCGTGTGTTACGCGACAAAGTAATTGTGATAAAAGAAATCAATTCAAGAAATCACACATTAACTTTCGAAATATTTTCCTCAACAAATTTTATTTTAATTTGGGAACGCAAGTAAGTACTTTGACTAATCGCTAGTAAAGTTACGTGAGTGAAAAGTTCAGTTCGTTACACAAATAGCACTCGCACGCCGCCATTATATCAACCACCGATTATCTCTGCATTTAGATATTAGGTATGCAAATAAATTCTGTAAAACTTTTTATTAGGTTCAACTTTATTTAAAATATGCTTTTTAGAAAGCTTACTAATCGAAATGTGCACCTTCGCTATCTATGGTTTTAGCGGGTAGTTTACGGATATGCGTACGGAAAAAACATCGTTGTTCTGAGGTGAAATAGTCGTCAACACATTCGTTCATATCGCCAATTTTACAAAAGCTACTAATCTGGTAAATATGGTTGCATCGATCTGAACCGACGCTAGCCAGAAAAAAAACAAGTATGGAGAAAAAGCCGTGATTTTTAACAGTTCGCAGCACAAATTGAAGATCACTTCCTTAGCTGCTTTTGCTATAGACGGACGGACGTGGGCTATTTCGATTGCCTTCAAGACAGCAAATTTTCTGCCAGATATCTTCCAAGCATTTTCACTCCAAGCCAACTCAATCATTTCCGTAACTTCAGCCCCTTTTTCCACAGTTTCACTGAGTTAAAGAACAGAAAAGCCCAAACAAACTAAATCCATCTCTTCACACTACTGTCCAAATTACCTACAAGAAATCAATTATTCTGAAATCCAAAACAAACTTTTTTCTCCATTTATTGTATTAATATACATCATTACGAAATACGCAGCAATATTCCTCTTATAGAAATCTTGCTTTCTGAAGCAAAATATATGGCAGAAGGTGCCTTTTTGAAAAGCTAGCCATTGCTTGGGACGCTTTATGTTATCGTAGAGAAAACATATTTCGCGACCAGTAACGATTCTAGCAAGAAATGGATCTCCGTCAAATGTGAATAGCAATGAAGTGGAAATTGCTTGACAAATATTCTAAAATGATGCGTTAACCGTATTACTTAACTTTAGGTTTTTCAATTTCGTGTAGGTGCCTTTGTAAAGCTGACCACGTGGACCCATGGCTTCTCGAGAGTTCTTGTATAGTTACATATGTAGCAAAGAAACTAAAGAGACTCTTGTGTAAGTTCTTCATCAATACCAAATACTGAATCACGTTAGACATGGTTAATCATAAATCCGTCCGTCGTTAGGGTTTTGTGTGGCACAACGATTACAACTTCCTGCAGATAGAAGAAGTCAATCAAAATAAGTAAGAAAACTATATTAGGCAGGGCCCGTGGGATAAAATTTATCTTTCACCTTTTACTTTACTCAAAGGTATTGTTAAATAAAAATAATCTGCCGCGTCGTGAAGTCCACCAAAATTAATTTCGAATTACCAAATTTAGCTCCAAGCCCGCTTATTTTATAACCCTCTCTCGGTGTCCATCATGTTTATTTGAGAATTAGCGCAACTTTAGGCAGATAATATGTCTTCATTTGAGGAATATACAAAATCGGTTTAAACATTCCGCGTTATTTACCTTATGATTATTAAGCATACAATCTCAACAAAGTGAAAGCGAGAAAATTTAATCACTCTGCATGGGCATGGCCATTTTTACCACATTTACACAAACATAGTAAATTCTTCCGTGAAGTAAATGCGGAAAATTTCACCCTTCTATCTTTTATAATTTGTGAGTAATCAGCGAAAATACATAGATTTTTGTTTAGAAAGACCGCATTTGACGTATTTGATCCATTTTCAATGCCAACGCGCAAAACCTTTCAATTTTTTTTACCAAATTTGTAGTCGATATCTTCAGATATGGCTTAATCGATTCAAAATTTGATGTTGGTCAAGAACATATGTACTTTATAGGATCACTGAAGCTTCCTTTTGGGTGTCGCAAGCATTAGGACAAAATGAGAATACCCCTTTCCTGCAGTGGTGGTGGATACAAACGCACAGAGATTGAGAACACATAAATTTTCGGAAATAAACTATCGTTTGTCTCCTCATCGCTCTTATACCACAACACTAAGAATTTCTAATTCCACTTATATAAGCTCAAAAAAAAAAAAAAAAAAAACGGTCATGATTCAACATTATAGAGCAACGAAATTTTATTCTATTCGTTTTATTTTTTTTTTTTTTAATATAATGGTGGTTAGTACAAAAAAAAAAAAACCATCCATACTCAAAAATAATTTTCGCATTTCTTTCTATTTTGTTTAGGTTCTCACTTTATTTATTTTAAACGAAAAAATCTCCAACTTTATTGAGTTCATTCACGATTACTTAAAAATTTCGAGCAACAAAAAATAAATGCTTATACAAAAATATATGTGTATATATAAGGCATATAAATATGACGCTCGAACAAATTTCGATTCTGACTTGGCTTGATCTTTTCAGAAACGTAGCATTTTAAGGTAACCAAGATTTGTATATTCGTCTCTTACGCACAAATTTTGTATTTGCATTTTTTCTTTCGAAGATCTCAAGAAGTTACCGCTTACCTTCAGGTCTTTTTCATGTGTGCGTTGATCGTAGCTTTTATTTGCTTAAAATAAGATTACGTCTAGATGCGATAATCCCATTAATCACTGTACTACGGCCGCTATGGCTCTTGCTATCAAAATTTCATATGATCATTTGTCCATCTTGTACTGCTGAAGCTTTCACGGCCCTATATAATGAGGTAGAAGACTACAAATGTATTCTTAGTTGATTACCTATTCGATGATCAACGTTTATGTTTAAAAGAAGAAAAGCAAATGTAACGGCATTTTCAATCGCGTTAATTGTTGGGCCCAAACACGTTGAAGTACTAAATTTCGTCAAAATATCTCAAAGTGTTTGCGACCTGTACGCTGAAGACAATAATATAAGACGGACACACAAGCTCAGGTCAATTCAAAAGTTAAAAGTTAGAAAGATGAATCAATCCCAAGTCCTTCTGGGTGTTACCTACACCCCCCACGAAACCTAATATACGCTTGTACCTTGTAAAAAATTATCTGCGAAAGAAACGCTATGTACTCATCTTAAGTGATGATCATCTGTTGAATCGTGTGCTGTGCTTAAATAGAAATTTAAGATTTGAGACATCTATGAAAAATTTAACAACTTTTATGTGATTCGAATGAATATTTGCCCAGTATTTGATACGAAAAACTGATTGATTGAGATTTTTAATTTGAGTTTGCGTTGTCCCTTATGGCTGCGTTTAGGGACAATCGGGGGCAATTTTGCACACACTTTTCCATTGGCTATGTATTTCTGCTTAGTCAGTATCTTTTCAATAACACATCATAAATATACCGTTATTTTCTTATTTTGTTTTGTTTTTTTTTTTTTTTTTTGTTTATATACAGTACAGTACAAAAATACAAATTTACAGCAAAATATAGTGGCTTTTCTATCAATTATATATGATATTTTTCAATTTTAGAAAATGCGCTTGTGCAACAAGGTTCTTTTGAGTGAAATTAACTATGAGAAATTGTATAAAATTAAAGTAGGAAAATTCATATGAATGGAACATAAAAAATAAAAAAAAAAAAAAAACAAGGAGGAATATTGTGTTCACTATGGTATTCGGGTCTTCCGCATATTTACATAACATAAGCTGATATGAATAGGGCATCGCCTTTAAATACGACTTCTTGAGTTATCCTTAACATTGAACAGCTTGCGAACAAATAACACCTTAAAGCAAGCAATACACGCTGTAGAAGACTTTTTGAAAGGGCGTAATTCACAAAAACTCACCTGAACAGAACAAGTTACTAAAATTACAAATATTTGACATATTGAAAATGTTTGTATATAAGTATTGTTGTCGAGTAGTAGAGCAAAATCGATAGCCTCGCGATTTCTACTATGGTATTGATAAGCCAACATGTCATTAATGTTACGTTCTACAGTCCCTATTGTCGTCTGAAAACGTCAAAGGTTTCGATTATTAATTAACCATTTCTGTTGTGTAATTAATGAATTTTGATACGCACAGTAAAATTGTTCATATTCAGTTGCAGCTCTTCAATCTCTTTGGCGTACTTATCCCAGGCATCGTATTTCACAACCGTTATGTATATATTGACCAGTTTACCAGCAAAGCGGGAGAATTGATTATCAATGCATACTGAATAGTAGCCGCCGGGTGACACTTCGTCTGTATAGTCAGCCGTTGCTTGCCACTGATACGGTTTAACTATCTGACCATGAGGATTACGTACAGCAAAACCAGCCATACCATCGCCGCCTCGAACCACCTGTACACGCATAAATAAACCTTGTAAAGAATAGCAATAAATCTTCTAACGATTAATTTTTTACATACGCTAAACGATACATAGAATGTTGCACCCGGCTGCACATACTGATGATAACAGTCCTCTTTTCCCGCATCAATATGAACCTACCAACACAAGTAGAAAACATAATGAATTTCTTTCTTTATATTATTTTTTTTATATTATTATCTCGATGGCAGATTTCAACCTTGTAATCCATTGCCACAGCTGGCAAATTCTCGTACCACGGTTTCGTCACCTCATTAGGAACAACTTGCGTTTTGGCGTTATTTAAAAAAATTATTAAAATAAATGCGCCCAAAAAATTTGTCTGCCACGTCAAAAACTGCTTCATATTGTATCGTTTATTGCAACAACAGTTCACTTGCCTGTCTGTTGTTTTCTTTCTTAAGTTTATTTCCAACAACTGTCAGTGCATGTTTCGTTTCCGTGTCATTCCGTAAGCATTTATAATATACAGGCGGAGTATACAGAATTATATTGTATGATGGTACGATAAGGGACATGAGAAATTTTTTTTCATTGGATTTGAGTTCTATTCACTCAAAATTATTGATTACATTTAAGTTTAGTGCTTGCGTTCAATTGAAAATCATTTCTCAATAATTACATGTATTATCGGCATAATAATCCGTTTATATGTAAAAGTTATAATATATAATTATTTTACCAAACTCTATTCAACTCTATACTCTTTAATGCATTGTATATTCAATAATATTATCAGGATTTTAAAACAGCATACCATTTCAAACAGGTTCCTGTGTCTGTCAAAGGAACTTACCTGTGAAGTTTTGAAATTTCAAAAATTTGAAAATGTTTCTCTTGTTTTCATTTGAAAACAAAATATTGAGTTAAGAGAAAAGGGAGAAGAGAATGAATTATCTTTTGTAATATTATTCTTCTATAATGGGTCTTGCATGCGATGTCGATTTACTTCTGTTTAGAATGTCGTGAAAAGGAAAAATGTTGCAGCACAATAGGAATCATCGAGAACGTACAATGAGTCGTGTGAAGTACGAGAATAGATTTAAAGATACTCTGTGTAACAAACGTCTAATCACTTTAGTATAAGAGACAAAAATTTCAAGCTGTTGTAGTTACGGAACAAATTGTGGTATCTTATGTGGATCAATATCGTAACTTTTATTTTTTTTAAGATTTGACGACATCGCACTAACAACAACAATTAAAATGTAATTTTTATTGCAGTCATGTTGGTGGCAGAGAATAAAAAAAAATTTTTTTTATGAAAGAGCATAATACTTTTTTGTGAAGACATGTGGAAAAAAGAACACGTAGGTATTTCTGATCCTATTCGCAGTTTCATTTTCGTTTTCAAATGATATTTTCAATACCTTTTGTAATGTGATGACGAGAAATTCAAAATGCAGCGGATGAACGCCGCATATTCGGTACAATTGATTCATTTTGATTTACTCTCACGTTCTGGTCGTAAGTGTTGCCAGAAGCGTAAAAAATGCAAAATAATAAATATTTCCCATTTCCGTTTCTATGAAAACATTTCTTTTTTGTTTTTATATTTTTTCAAACATGTGCGGATTGTTTATTTGCTCTTTTCTCTCTTCTTCTAATTCTTTATTTTTGCTATTTGTTGTCTTTTCCATAAATGCATTTATTTTTCTTTCAGTGTTAAATGACTTTTCAATATTAAATGAAATTGATTTCATTTTGCTAATTTCTTAAATGCTGTGTACTAATGCATGTTGTTGTTCTTTTTGTTGTTGATGATCGGTGATAAATGATCCTGCTGAAATAATTGCTTTTGCCTTTTGTATGTTATTTATATTATTATTTTCTATATTAATACATACATAAATACATATATATATATATATATATATATATATATATAATAAATCTATATATATATATATATATATATATATATATATTTATGCAGTCTGTTTCCCAATTACAAATTAAGGACTTCAAGGCAAAAATGCATCGAAGTAAAGCGATGATGGCGGGAGGTATATGTGGAGTGTAAAGTATATATATATATCTATATATGTATATATATGAAATGAAATGAAATAGAAATTAATTCAAGTAAGTGTTGGCCTAAATGATGTCTATTATTAAAACTGAGCAAAAAAACAATGGCAGAGCGGAGATGTGCAATATTTTTATACTATCGTGTACAAAGTTCGTCTTATCTTTCAACTTAAATCACAAAAAACAAAAAGGAAGAAACACTCACATAATTTGCATATAATTCTTTTTATCTAAGCTTGGGTGCTTGCATATTATATTCAAAATTCTTAATAGACACAGGTGAAATTTTCCGCATAATAAGGACTAGCGAGCAATGCTCTTGTCCAATGCTACTAATTGCAGCTTCAAATGCTTTCGTTCATACTGAATTGCAGTCGTAGATGAAAACTTAAAGGCGACATTATCCTACAAACCAGTAAGAAGCTTGTACTCGCTTTGAAGAATATCTCTGACATCAACGTCTATATCGCTTTATAAAAGATTGCAATATATTGTTTTAATCGAAGACGTGTCAATTAACCGATTAGGACCGTTTTTACATAGATGTTTTTAGTAGCTTTTGCATGCGATTTCAAATCAATATCGGGTTTAGTGCGAGAAAAAAGCGGATGGAAAGACAGACGCGTCTCAATTGACTTTGAATTTTATATTATTCAGAAATTTATATACATTCTGTATAGTGCCGCATCTAACTTATAATCATCTTCGGCAGTGAACGTGAAAGTGTATTAAAATTATTGACTTCTCTTATGTATATGTTACCGTACCTCAAAGGCGCAGACGTGCAGAGATGAAAAATTATTGATTTTTATAAGTCAGTTTGTTGTTTGCTTGTAAGATATTTTCATAAATTAGGTTGCTCTGGGAAAAAATTTGAGATCTGCTTTCACGACTGAATGAGATTGGAATCAGATTTACAACCGTATGTTACGCAATAAGCGAAAGAAGCCAGCAATTAAAAACGAAATTCAAAGAAAGCTTTGTACATAATTATTCAAAATTATCCTTCTATATATTTTATTTATCGCTTAAGGTCGTAGTAATAATTACTATGTATAGAATTTGGGTGTGAGTTTAAGAGGGTAAATCTCCTGCAAAATGATTTAGAAGCGCAATGATTTAAAGCTTTAAAGGTTTTTCGATAAATAAAAAATTTTTAATTTCTGAACGCGAATGCCTAAGAATTTTCGGTGCATTTGTACGTAAGTGTATTTATGTATGTACATGAATTTTTGTAAGCCTTTCCGTAAGCATTTCACTTTACTTCAAAATAAGCTTAAGTTTTTTTTATTTATATATATATATATATATATATGTATATATATATATTTTTCTTTTTTTTTGTTGTTTTGAAGAGATTTTAAGATTTATTTTTAAAATTTAGGAAAAAAGTTTCAAATGCTTAAAGTGTAGTAAAGAAAAATATCGTAAGTAACAAACAGAATTGGTTAGAAACTCGGGATTTTTGCTTTTTTTTTTTCAATGATAGAGTTTTACATAATAATGTATATTAAAATAAATACTAATGTGTATAATTTGCAGCTTTTTCATTAAATATATTAAATTTTTTTCAATTTTTCATATTTTTCATATTATTTTCACTATTTCTCTTAGCTTCTTTATACACTCGAAACGAAAAATACGAGGAACTAATTAATTATAGATCCCACGGGAGTAAGTGATTAATAGAAAGCTTTTCCCATCTTATTGATGTCTGTCTGAGTTATATCAACATTATAAAAGAAGAAAATTTATTTGTAGCAGCTGTACGTCTCTTACGAGATTACAATTGTTTTCGATCGCTTCGTTATATTTAGTGCACCCTTTAATAGATTACCGCGTCCTATCAACAATTATGATTACATTAAGGTCATTCATTACATGAACTGAAAATCATTTCTTGCTTACGTTCCTCCTGGGATTGTGTTCTTTGCTATTTAAATATATGATCGTAATTCAAACGACGAATGGTACACACAATTTTTCATATCTGATTATCATAAATGGCAGAATTCGGTATTCAAGAGTGTGCAGAACATATCGGTTTTTAACGGCAATTTAACGGCAAAATCTGAAAATTTGATTTGATTCCAATAAGTTGTTATGGAAACCACCCAAAGCCAAAAGATGAGAATATGCAAGGTTTGTAATCACAAGCGTAACACGCAGAAAGTATCAGACGTTCGCCTGAGAAGTTTTGATAAAGCTAAGGCTACAAATTTTTTATGATATAGATTTATCTTTCAGTCTCTCCCCACACTACGCCTATGGTTTGAACTCTCAGTTTAGCTAAAATAGAAGATTAAAATTTGTGATATACGTTCTTGTTGCATGTTTAGCGTTGGATTCTGGGTTTAGCGATTCACAGTTAACAAGATACTTTTCAAATTTTTATTATTTTATGTGATAAACGAATGGAGAGAGAGAGAGAGAGAGAGAGAGAGAGAGAGAGAGAGTTACATGGGCTATTTAATTAATTTGTTCCTGATATTTCTTGATAAGAGTGCATATATATACATGTATATATACATGTATATATATATATATACATGTACATATATATATGTAGCATAATGGTTTTATTATATGATTTTTTTTTCAGTTTTTCTTCTTTTTTTATAAATGTAATAAATTTTAATTTTCATACAAATGCTAAATTTTTTAGTTATGTAAAATTCTTCATGTTTTTGTTGTTGTGTATAATTAAATATTGCAGTATGGCATTCAACTATTTATTGATTTATATTTATCTTTAATATTTTGTTTGTTATTAATTTTATTGCACATTGATTGGCAGTGTGCCCTTGTCCCCGAACATCAACTCTTAACTCAACAAAAGATCGAAAAGAACTTTTCATATATCGCATTAAGAAAAGAAATCTTTAATGAGTAAATAAACAAATAATTAGATATATGTAAAAAAATAGTAATAATAATAATTATATTAATTTTATAGCTAAAAAAGTTTACATTTTATCAATATTTTCATACTTATTAAGATATACGTATGTATATGAATACAAGTTGCTGTTATTGTTGTCGTAATAATAATGCTACGCCGTCATTAGATCAGCATCATATAAAATTTGTTAATTTTTTTTTTTTTTTTTTTCTTTTTTCATATATTTCATTTTTTTTTTTGTTTTTTTTCTTTTTTTTTTTTATATCATTTTTGCTGTTTTGTTTTGCTGTCAGTTAATCTGGTATCTGGTAAAAATATATATATAATTATGTACGAATATGTGGCATTGTGTATAATTTATAAAATGAGTATATTCATTTTCTTCATTCCTTATTTTCTTTGTATAGGTGAGGATTTAGGGGCTATGTTTTATAATATATCCCGGAACATTAGCAGTAACCGCTCTAAAATCAGTCACTTCCGAGATTTCTATAAAATACATTTTTTTTTTTTTTTATTATTTATTTATAGTAGTATTATTATTATTTTTTTTTTAATATTTATTATTAATTTATAGATGTGTGTGTGTGTGTGTGTGTTTGTTTGTTTTAATTTAAAGTAGAAAATGTGAGCTATAAATTTATAAATTTTTTTTATAAATTTTAGCTTTATAAGTTTTTTTGCATTCAAATGGCGGTTCAGTTATTTCCTTCATTCCTTTCCCTTTTATATATATATACATATGCAGTGAGCGACATATGAATATGAATAGTCCGTAGTAGTTTTCATATAAGTGCAATGGTATGATTTTTAGTAATACTTTTAAGCGGAAATCGAAAAATATTAAAATAAAACAAATCAGAAGCTTTACATCGAAACAATCTGAAATTGAACCAATTCCTTCTCTTGACGGAGTGCTTTCGAGGCTTATCAAAAAATACTCGTTTTCATGATTTATATACGAAAATTTCAAATAATTCGAACCTAAGTGGTTGAAATTAGAAATTGACTTTTTCCTCCATTAATTAATTAATTTATGCGTTCGAGTCGTAAATGACGACAAAGTCCATCACCGAAGACATATACCGTAACAATAACTTCACGATACAAGGATTAAATACGAAGCGTAAACAATTGCCCTCCAGTGAGCAGGACAACCGCCGCTGTTGCTGTCCTTGCAGTCCCAGAGCAAGCTCATGGGCAGCTTGCCCACGTGATTTTCGGGAAAAGCACAACCAAAATAAAACTCCCCGAAGTACTCCCATCTCAGCTATTAGGACGAAATGTTTCGAAACTCTTGTTAAGCTAATAACTAGTACGTCAACTGCCCTTATAGACCAAATGCATTCTAGTACATGTCTCCATATATACCACATTTTAACGTACATTTTAACTTTCGCGATTAGTGTAAACGACTGAACAGTGTTTTCTTAGAGAATTATCACAGTGAAAAGAAATGATATAAAATGGGGCCATAAACGAGATCGGATTTCTTCGTTGGCCAAAATTGTGCTTGCGCCCTTAACAACTTACCAATCGATAAAATAATTCCTACAACTTTTACTAAAAAGGGCGTTTTCGTGTTTTATGGCAGGCCAAGTCTAGCTTCGAATTCTTCGTTTTAATGAAAAACAAAAATTCAAAAACAGAAAATAAAATCCTCTCTATTAACGGTATTGACTATAAGTGAAAATGCACACCTGCAATCCTGAGCACATATATATATGTAACTTGCATTCATTTTGTTTAAGTTTGACAAATTTCCTTGCAATAGAACTCGTTATTTCAAATATTGATAATGGATTTCAAAGAAAAAAAAAAAAAAAAAAAAAAGAATTATAGAAAATTCGGAAAGCATACTCGTGCTAGAAAGACCGACGTACCTTAGCGCAAATATGTCTATGGGGTAGAAATGTATATATGTTATATACGTTATCTTTACGTTAAGGTGCACGTGTTTCTCATGAATTGAATGATTACAAAAGTTAAAGTCTTTAACTTGGCACTACGTAACGTCACGTTAAGTATCGCATGAATTTTTCAACCTTTCATTTCGGCGAGTTATCCATATGTCACTAACCGTATGCGTTGAATTGTTGAGTATTTGTTTTCTTAATTTTAATTGTCAGATATATGTATATGCATGTATTATTATTATTATTAGTTATTATTCATAATATTACAGTGAACGTACAGTTATATCATAATTAGGTTAATATTTATTATATTTATATATATTTATATATATATATATATATATATATATATAAATATATATAAATATAAATATATATATCTAAATTTTTATATACATATATACATTTGTTTTCTTGATTTTTTGCATCAACTTAGAAGCTCAGCATTTATATTAATTTATCTTTCGCTTATTATTATTATTATACTATTATTACATTGTAATTATATTATAGTTATACATTGTTGTTATTGTTCTTGAGGGGCATATATATATATATATATATATATATATATATATATATGTACATAAATGTATCTATGTATTTATACATGTCTATATAAACATATGTGCATACATATATACATATACATATAAACATATGTTTTAAAAATAAAAGAAAAATTTTGTTTTGATAAATTAATAAAATATATCCGAAAGGCTGTGATGTAGGTTGTTTTAGTTTTTGACTACAGCAGAGATTAAAAGAGAGAGTTATTCAAAATAATATATAATTTTTTAATTTGTTTGCGTTTTTTGTTGTTTTTGCCGTCATTATCGTATTGATTATTATTAACCATTTCATGGATAAATTGAATCTATTGTTAAATTGCTGAACTATTATGATAATAATTCCATACACGAATCATCAGTCGCATTCGGGGCCGTCGGAAAAATGACCCCGTACATCAAGTGCTGTCGCCAACTGGAATATTATGTGCGACAATGTCGGATGTTCCAGTAACTCATTGGATGGCAATGGAGGTTCACAACGCGGTCTCATGTGTCGGCCGCGAAAACCACGATGCAGTCTCAGTACAACATCACAGAATACGAACCGTAATATTAAGGTGCGCAAGAAATCATCGCCGAAAAATTGCACATACGATGAATCTTTAAGATATGATATACGTGATATGATATATGTGCATATAAGGAGAGTGTAAATATAAAATAATAATAATAATAATAATAATAATAATAATAATAGTAAGGGATAAATCAAAAACTTACCGATATATCCTTGTTCGATTTCATCGATACGGCATCTTGTTACCAGACGTGAAGCTTCAGTTATGAAATGATCTACATATGATTGACAACGTTCCCAATGATGTATGGGTACGTCGCCAACATTACATATATAACATAATGCCGTCAAGGGGGAATGCAGGAACAAAGTAAATAACGAACCATGATGTTGCACTTCAGCTTTAAATGAAGCAAAAGATGTATGTGTATTTGTATGTATGACAAGACAACAATTCTATTTCTAAACGGATGACGGAAGTGTAAGTTAAAAAATTAAATATGAGAAAAGGAGAAGGGGAGAGGGGTCAAAATGGAAGTTTTAATGTTAATTATCAGTACACTTTATAACACTTATTATAAAATTGTTAATGTAGTCTTTAAAGGTTGGCGCAGGAATATAATTATACGGTCAATAATCAAAATTTTGAAACCTTTTTATCGTGTTTCGAAATATTTTGGTTATTACCCTGGGATCTGCATCCAGATTTGTATTATTTCTTACCTTGAAATGCTGGTGGCACATCCTGTGGTGACATGAGTATAACCAAAGGTTGACCGAAATAACGCGGTATGTGCTGAAAGACAAACGAATTATCCGAATCGATGATGATGAATAGAGGCCGTCGTGTAAATGGGTATAAATCGCCGGGATACAAGCAATGATTCTCCTTGTAAGATTTCCCTCGACATGCTAAGCCGCCGCCATCGACCCCGTCTCGCTTAACGCTCGTAGCCAAACCGCCTAGCTCATAGCCATCTGCATATAAACGGGAAGAAAGTAAAATTTTCAATCGACTTTTCTTGCTAAGCAGTTGACTTACAGTCTTCTGGATGTTTCGTGGTGGAAAAACAACCATCGGCTGACATGTATAAAAGTAAAGCGCCTCCTGGAGGCAATTCTTTAAAACCGCTAGCTAAGAACACTAGTAGTTGGCTTATCGAAGGTTTATACAGTAAATACTTGTGGGGATTATCTCTATAATGTCGGTTATTTTCCAAGTAACCTTTAGAACCGGGAACACCATAGGGCGGTATGCGGCTGGCGGCAGGGCTAGCATCGTGTCCGTGCATACCGTGCGAAACACTCATAGGATGCGTAGATTCAGTTGGTTCTCGTTCGAGAGTTTGTAACATTCTGGAAGGAATAAAAAGTTTCTAAAATCCCTGTCAGGGCTTTGAATGATAATATTTTGCGCTTTTTACCTAAACATATCCATGGTTAGCTCGGAAAATTTGGCCTGTTCGCAAGCGGAGCCTACAATGAGTATCTCCTGTAGGCTTAGAGTCATATGAGGTGAACGTTCGCACGGTGGCGTCGTCAGCGGTGATAACCTAGAACCGGAACCACTAATTGTCAATGCGTGAAGTTTAACTATTCCGCAAAGCATTAGCAGAGGCCCGTGCTTTCACAGAAGAATTGATTTAAATGTGATGCAAAATGAAATTTTATTGTGATCGATTGATTCATTGATTGATTGATGTAGTGCTCAGATGAGATCACATTTTGCCTATCTCTTCTTCTCTTCTTGTTTACAGAGAGATTGTTGCATGATCGCACATAAACACCAAAAAAAACATAAATGAAATATATATCGAACGTGCATTGGTAGTGGTAGTGAAGTGGTGGGTACATTGGTGTTTGTCTGGGAAATAATGACAGGGCGAGAGAGAAAGAGAGACCGAAAGAGATAAAGAACAAACAATGCCTTCTTGACTGAAAGTTGCGTGTGTCGCTTGTCGCATAAATACATGCATATATACCCACACACGCACACACACACACACACACACGCACACATCTATACACCTAGACGCACACACCCATACATCCGCATACATCCATACACCCGCAAATACACACACATACATACATACATACATACATACGCAACGTTTATATACAAATACACACACTCACAACTTTTAGCCGGTTACATATCAAAAGTATGTATGCATCAGATGTGATTTATTTGAAAATGTTTGCTTTGTGGATGTTTTTGTTTCAAGTCTTCTGTGATAAGCACATCTTCTTCATCTTCACCTTTTTTTTATTTATTATTATTATTATTTTTTTTTTTTTTGTTATTATTATTATTATTATTATTATTATTATTATTATTACTAAACTAAACATAAGCAAAATCAGTATACCTGCAAATAATAAAATTAGACTTTTATTTTTATGCCCACCACCACCGAATTGAAATTGAGAGAAAAATGCCAATTGTGATCTTCCATCAGTAGCGCGATATGTGAAAAAATGCTCACAGTTATCGCAGACCATATATATGAGAATATTTGAGTAGAATTCGGTTTCGAGTATGCGAATAATTTCTCTCCCCAGGCGTCTATCATTTTACATCTGTTTCTATGTGATATGTGTTCTCTCTCTCTTTCCCTCCCTGTGTTTCAAACGCCGATAGAGCATTAAACTTTTAGCACATAAATGAGTAGCGTCTGTGTTTTCGGGTTTTTGCAGAAGACTAACGCAACCGTTGCTCAATATAACTTACACATTATCCTGGGTGGTGGGCATTGGAAATTCGCTCATAGTCGAATTTTAATTTTCTTATTTGCTTACTAATTTTTGTTGGTTTTGTTTTTTGGAGGGAAGAAATCATAAACAACTAAAACAATAACGAACGAAATAATTAAAATAACAACAACAATAATAATTAATTATATATAGTAATATAAAAAAAGTTCGAATTATTATAAAAAAAATTCGGAAATATTCTCAATTTTCCTCCCAAAGAAAGCACGGGCAAACTATTACCGTAACGTTGTTGGACGGTTGCAGCTTGGCTCACCTGTGTGATAGAATGATGGGATTGGAGTCCGCATGAAGAACAGCTACAGCAGCTTCCGCTTTTATAAAACCTTTGATTTCCTCTAACACAAGAGACCATTCTAAATGATCTTCAGGCTCATAACTATAATAGAACGACAGAAATGATTAAAAGAAAGAAAACAAAGAAAAAGAAAGGGAAAGGGAAAGAGAAAGAGATAAAGATAGAGAGAGACAGAGAGAGAGAGAGAGAGAGAGAGAGAGAGAGAGAGAGAGAGAGAGATAGAAAGAGAGTAAAGAAAAAAAGAAAAAGAGAGAAGGATGCTAATCGTGAAGTCATAAACTCTGAGAATCTCTAGTGTACAATTTACTCACGTGGTTGTATATTCCTGTATTTGCTTTTCTAATTCGGTAACCAGTTCACGTACCAATTTCATTTTCTTCAACAATAAACACACGACAATAAAACGAGCATAGTAACGTAACTTTTTCACCATCAAATCGGGCCGATCCTCTTTAATAGCACGTGAATAATAGGCTCTACCTCTAATTGCTGCATAAAATTGATAAGCCTCATTCAGGTAATTCGTTTCGCTGGTTCTTAAACTGGGTAGAAGAGAGTAACTGGTAACTGGTTACACTTCGTTTCGCATAAAAAGCAAAAAACTTACTAATAATGATAATAAAGCTGTCCAATTTTACTCGCGATTTCGCCGATTTGCCAACGCTTTAGACCGTATTTCGAATCTAACACCATACGATGCTGTTGCTGAAACTTCCACAGTTTTGTGTATACGTCAAACGTGCGACCGAAATACGCCTGCCACTGGCGATGACCATATTGCGGCAAATCTCTGCACATGAGGTGCATAGACAATGAATATCAACTTTTATGATAACTTAAGCATGTACACGATTATATTTACCTCAAGCCATTAAATAGCTGCTTCGATTTTTCGAGTAAATGACAAAACTCCAAAACCAATTTTCTATCCTGCTCTTCGGTGGATTCCATTTTCACCATACCGTTCTACAGTATAGTATTGTTATGATGCCAATATAGAGGAGCTGAAAAAGCCAAAAACAAACTCGCTAACAAACTTATTTAGATAATCAAATCGAAATTTGATCCGATTTGTCCGATTCAAAAATCCGCAGAACAGAAATAATATAAAATAAATTGCAATAAATGGATTTGTTCTCATTCAAGGTAAACACATTAATTTCAGCCATATCGAAATTTTAAATTTTATTGCTCGGAATGCTGCTCTGACTGACGCTGTGAATGCTCCAAGTCGCTTAGAGTGAAAAATTTCTAAACCGGCCTATTGCAAGACCAGCCTCTGACAAGCGGGCTTATTATTTGAATAGACTGAATGATTTCTTTCTGCTTCTTCGTTAAGTCAGCCTGTACCTTATGAATATTTGCATTTAGTTGGTCGATAGTAAACGTTTGAGCGAGCTTCGGTATGAAAAGATTAGAAATGGAAATTTCCTTACTATGAGGTTATGTACGCATGTAAGACCGGCCAAATGCGCTGTAACCCGTTAAAGTTGCATTGCATTTAAGGCCCGAAAAAGGATAGACATTCTTGACTAGCGCGATTAGCGGCATTCATTTCTGAGATGTCGCCTTGTCTATATCCTGCCTTTCCAATAACGATAGACGCTTTAAAATTTACTCTTTAATATTTTGCTTTTTTATCACTCTTCGCCATCTTAAGCACGAAATTTATTAAAGACACTCAGTAGACTCGTCCTGTTTGTGTACTTGTATATTTTTTCCTAATGAAATATCTATACGAAGCTCGAAAACATCAAATCAAATATTGTACATAGGATGGATATCGGACCCGTTTATAGAATTCTTTTCATGCTGCTGGATCTAGGGCGGCAAAGAACCAATGCCTATCTCTTAGGCCCGCATCATATTTCTGCCATCTGTCTTTATTTTTATTTGTTCCTACTCTTATTCTTATGAGCACACGCGACGAACGAGAAGTGAGCGATTTAAAAAAAAACCGATAAAGTGTACGAACATGTGTGTTTCAATTACATTGCTTTTAGAAAATTATTATCATGTTATTATCTTTGAATAAAATCATTTTCGCTGCTTTGGTAATTTGGATAATCAGTTTGAGTGCATTCCGCGCTTAGTGAACTGAACTGAACTGAATTGAAGATCAGGATCGGATAACACTCTAAGCAGTTGCGTACAAGAAAATAGATGTAAAAATCTGTTTATTCATTCGGAATAATGCACAAATCAGGAAGAAAGCGCCGCTTGCACGAATCTTTGCTTTACCAATTTCACCCGTTTATAGTTATATTTTATTAAACCCATGTGAGTAGCTAGCTGCCTGTGCTTATTACAAACCTATTGCCTATGTTTACGTTTTTGAACGAGTACGTCAGATAGTTATTATGCAATTTCACTATGAAACTCCTTTGCCTTTGTAGGTTTTTTCACAACAAATTAATTTATTGCGCGAATTTTCATTCAAAATGAAAGCTTTTACGGATAAATGAACAGATCAGCAGACATAGATGAAGAATGAAATTTGAAAATGTGGGCAATTTATTCGTCGAACTTCTCACTAAATTAAGAAATTCTCTTCTCAATAATATAGAAAAAAAAAAGCTTCAAAATGACTTACATCAATCGCATCAATATGCAATGAAACTTTCAATTTCTCGCTATTCAGGATTTAAGACGCGCGCCATCACAACCAAGGCGAAACTTGAACATGTCTTAGATAAGAAAGAAAAAAAAAAAAAATATCAAAGTTAATAATTACAGGCGCCAGTAGTTGATCGCAATTGCCAGTCTAGTATACTAATGGATGAAATGATGAGATATGAACTTTACTCTCTTAAGAGCTAAATATATTTTCGACAACACTCAGTCACTTAAACAAAAGCACTGCAAACAATTACATCATTTTTTCCATCACAAATAAAAATAAACTATTCCATTTCCATATAGACAAATGCAAATATTCATCTATTGTCTATTTACGCTTTAGCTATGATACGTATGCTGTGTGTACGTGTGTCTTATAAAGCGAGAAAGAGCGAATACGAACTAAAGACTTGCTTTGTTGGTACTTAGACAGCATTTGTTTGTGCATATCATTTTGGCCGTATTGCTAGATGAGTCAGTTTTCAAGTGCATACTATTGTGTTATAGTAAAGCAACAAACAGCAAATAGACGCACATTCCGATTAGCATACGATATTCGTGATGTTGTCAATTCAGTGTGCAAGACATGTAGCATAATCCGAAAGTGAAGGTGCATTATATAATGCTAAATGATCTATCTTCAAAAAACAATATTTAGAGCGAATATTTAAAAGTATTTAATATTCTCTGTTAATTTTCTTTTTTTTTAATGCTCCCGGAGATTTTATTTTTTTTTAATTTTTTTTTTTTTTTTTTTTTGTTCTCTATACAGCCTATAGGATTACAAATCTCACATTGCTATCAATAATATATAATATTTAAAAAAACAACAAAAATAATAACTATTTTACAACTACATTGATGAGCCGTAAATTCTTATTTAATACATTTTACGTTTTTTACTACATACATTGTAACACGTATATGCATATTTAATGTGTGTAGTCTCGTTTAACTAAAATAAATAAACTCGTGCGTACAGATAAAAGCCCGTAATGGACACATTGATTTTCATGTAAAAAATAGAAGAAACAATGATGAAAAACTAGGTCGAATTTTAACCCCTAATCAACTAACGAACGAATAGCACAGCATCCGCAAACAGAAAATGATCTCATAACTGGAGTGTATATATATATATATATATATATATATATATACACACACACACACACACACACACACACATACGTATATATATATATATATACACTTTATATATATATATATATAAAGTACTATTAGCAACACACTTCTCTCACTAAAATTCTCTACATATGTAAGTAGGAACAAAAGGCTTTCAATGCATTTTTAAAAGTTTTCAAATTTGTTTCCTGACGATTTTGTCTTCTATCCGTTACATGACCAGTAGCTTGTGTATTTTCATCCTCTTAAAGTATCGAATATACAAATATAGGAGTGTGGGCGAGAGAAGGAACAGAAAAGATAGATAGATAGAGAGAGAGAGAGAGAGAGAAGAGGTCTTCTGGCATACAATTCTTGTGATTTAAACAAACATCAGGAAAAGAAAGAAAAAAAAAAAAAAAAAAGATTTATAAAGAGATGTATAAAGTAAACAGAAGGATAGGCAAACGTAGCAGACATACGTTTATAGATATGGTTGCATGTGTGTGAATTTCATTCACATATCTATATATGTAAGAGTAATAGCAACAACAACAAGAGTATCAAGCACAACACCTATTACTTTTCCGTTTTCATTTAACATACTGTATTTATATTAGTGTGTGTCTACCGTGTGCGACTACTGTTAATAAACATAGGTACTCATAATGCAAGCGCATAGGCATCTAGATATGCAAACTGTATGATAGATAGTCTTTCAGTTAGTCAAATAATCGTAATTTTCTTCATATGTATTTATGCAGTCAAAGAGGAGCAATCTTATGAGGAGGAGATAATGCATATGCCTATGCATTATTCTACATAATATACAAAAGTAAAATATTTACACACATATGTATGTATGATTGTTTGATTTTTTCGATCAATGGTGTGCAAGTTGAAATAGACACATACATACACAGCGACAATTGAACGGATGTATGCATGTACGCGTCATTATAAACGTACAATGAGCGCGTCTTTGAATAGTTCCGAATTAAATATTCACATCCTCTTCTATTTGTTCCACTGTTTGTGCGCAACGTTCGCCATTATCGCTGCTGTATTTTCGAGTTTTATGCTAATTTCAAACAAGTCAGAGTATATGAAAAAGTTCCGTTTCATACTGATGTTTGCTATACCGTATGAAGTATTGATAGAGATTGTTGTCTTCGGGTTATCGATTTTTTTTTCTAGTTAATCGTTATTGTGGGCAATTGCAATTAATTTTTAGAATTGATCAATGGCAATGAGCTAAGAGCTTATTGGCGGAATTTTCCATATGTATAAACGTATAAACCTATATGCACTCCGATGCGCGTTTCTATGTGTCATGTATCATAAAGGAAGTTTTTTTTTTTGTTTTTGTTAGTCGCGACAATGCATATATAAACAAAATTAGAATTTGCAATAACAAACACATATGGTCTACTTTCTTAAAATCTACTAAATATCTTTTATATGGAATATGCTTAGTTTACTGAAAGCCTTGCCTAACTTCAGGCTGATTCTTTTAAAATGCTTTAACATGGAAAAAAGCCATGAATGAAAGGAGAATCAATTTCAGAATAAAAACAAAAACGAAAACAAAATGTTATCAGTAATAAGATCCGTATTTCAGCTGTGTTTCGCATGTGTTTGTAGCCGGTTACTTTCTTTAAGTTTGGGCAGCGTGAAATCTTTTTAATTACTTAGCTAGTTGATAGGTTAATACAACATCATTTTACGTATTACGTACGTTGGATACAACGGGTTTGTCAACCCTTTTAATGCCTGGAAAAACGCATCGAAGACTCTATTAAGCTCACATGTTTCGATCAATGTAAACAGCGGAAATAACGAAATCGATTTATTGATCTGTCTGCAGAAATATTATTCAAAAGGAAAATAATAATAGACTTGATCTTAATTAAATTTTATTCATTGACATTAGATAAGAATCTAAAAATTGATTAGATACGCGTTTGCAATCAGAGGAAAGAGGAAAAAAGGAAAAGACAAAGAAGACCAATAATTTTAGTTTAACTTTGATTGGTACTTTCAAAATTGTATGTTTGAGTTTTCCTTATTGACATACTAAAATTAAGTTCGAAATTAAGTAATTGAAATATCATAAATCATAACAATCATCATAATGTTAATAATTTTTTTGTTATTCTCAAATTTTTTTGTCATTCGAGCAACAGTTAGTGCGGCACGTGAAAATTCCAGCCCAATTCGGGTATTTATACGGATCTGAATATTTCCATGCATTTTATTTCTTGGATCTTGGCTGATAGAAAAAAAAGAAAGCTAGCGTCGTGATAACTTGCCCTTTAAGGATCAAAAAAAAAAAAAAAAGAAGAAGAAGAAGAATATTAATATTCGGAAAAAATAATTCGTTCATGACGAACAAACATATTTATATAAAAGAAATAAATGCAATAAAATAATTATCGCTCTCTTGAACACACAATCAGTCCGAGACATATATTCGCTTAACTAAAGTGGATGCACTCTTCAATGTATGTGTCCTATATTGGATTTTAGTGTCGTCATGCATGAGTAGACCTCAGTTATTTTTAATATGTAATTGCTCCAGATAATAATAATAATATTCAGAATAGCTTCACATCCACTTACCGCTCTTTATGCCCCATTTTATATTCTCATCAATTAGACGACATAAAATCAAAATACTACTGTAAATATTATTCTGATTATTATACCGCAGAGTTTTCATGTTTTCCGTAAGTTGATCTACTCGAATGTATGTGAATGTATTTGCAATACAACGTTACTATATACGAAGTAATAAGAGCGGAAACTCTGCATCAGATGTACTGATAAGGTCCTTTTTTTTTTTTTCTTTTCTTGCCTCTTTCTTTTTTTTTTTTTTTTTTGTAAAATCAATTTCTAACTAAATGAAATTTCTACTTCATTTTAAAGCAATCTTATATGTAAAGAATTATTCAAAAAGCAATTTAAAATGCATAATAATAATGGCATACGCGGTTCTTTCGGTTTTCTCCTTTTTTAATTTCGAAATGTAAAAATTGGCATTTAAAATAATGAGGCATTTCCTTCATATCTTTTTGATGTGTATAAGCCTCCTTTTTGATCTAAATGCCAAATCTTCACGTTCCCTTTTTTTTTTTTCTACTTGAATTATTTTATTGAATTTTTTATATCTTTTATTTGGTTTTATGTACCTTTGTGCGACACAGTAGCTCATGATGTATTCCACGTTACTACATTTACAAAGAATGTAAAATGCAATGACGTTGTAATTCCGTTAGGTGAAAAAAATTTTTTTTTTTCGCTAAGAATCCTTTTTATTTCGCTTTCTTGGATGGTTAATAGTAGGTTCCTGCAGTTTATGTTGAGGTCAATACATATATGTACAAATGCACGTATATATATATATATATATATATATATGTATATGTATATATACCTACATCATACACACACACACACACACGCCAACACAAATAATATATGTATATATGTATATATATATATATAGATATATATTCAGCAGATGTGTATATGTATTTATTTATGTGGATATAAATGGCAGTATTACGGTAAATTGGCTCACATACCATTCCGTTTATGTACACATAAATCAATTTTTTTTTTTCTCTTTCTCTCTTACTTTTTCTAAGTTCCGAGTTTTTGTGTTTGAACACTAAATTGTTTACTAAATATTAAATATAAGTTAATAAATTTTTATTTTTTATTTATTTATTTTTTTTTTTTTGATTAAATATTTAATTTCTTATTTAACGAAACCAATGGGTTTTTTATTCTTTTAATTTTTCTTTCTCTTACACTTTTTGTTACTCGTTGTTTCGGATAAAAATAAATGATTTTTAAATTTTACACTAATATGCGTGTGTAAGTGAGTTTATATGTGTATTGGGCTGCAATTGACAGTCTCCCCTTTCCTTATGTTATGTATATTTTCTTGATTTTTTCTCTCTTTTTTTTCTACACTCACAATTGCTGCATACTTATTATGCACATAAGCCCTTTCTCGTTACGCTCATATGACTTAGGGAAATTTTTTGCCGGTTTTCTCGATTCAAATTTTATAACATTTTTAGACATATCTATAAAATATAGTATATACAATCGTAAACGTGCATTTAATCAACACTTTAAATATAATTTTTTATTTATTATACTAAGCCTTTCATCGAAAATCGGTTACATTGCACATTTGTATAAAAAAAAAAAAAAAAATGAGGAGATTTGCGCTCTTACGTCTACGTGCAGTCGAATGTATTGAATTTTTCCTTTGCGATGACTTTCCTGAAGCGTAGAAGGGTAGTTTATCGATTTTTTACTTTAATTACGGCAAAAAACTCTAGATGGCATAAGTATGGCAGCGCCAGCTGATAAACGTCTAACTAAATCTGGCAACTTATATCTATGTGGGATAGATTTATTCGTTCGTTACAAATAGGCTAATGTAAAATATTGTCTATTTCTGAGAGGTGGTCTCTTTAATTAGAACGATTACTGGCATTATTATATTCATGTCAAGAGCTGTAATTATATAGAACTCAGAATGGTTAGGAACGTGCGCGAATTCTTATTGCGAGGGCTTCTACGAAATAACATACGTAAATACGTGCGCGCACCTGTTGATTACTATAACAATAGAATGCTTTTATAAAAAATTTATACTTACACTTAAGCCTAAGCGTTTTTTTTTTTTTTATTTTTCATTTCACTCCTTATCACTCCTATATGCTAATATTGTTTACAGAACATTAGTTGCAGGTAATTAATGTGAAAGAGAAGAAACGTATATGTGTTAATTTATTTATTACTCATGTAAAAGGCTTAGTGAATTTGACTACAACCATCCACAACGTAATTGAGCGTTTGACCGTATAAATGTTGAAAATAATGCACGCATGCAGACGATATTAGAGAAGTATGCTGCTCTATTAAAACTACAAGACCTGGACTTTAATTCAAATGTGGCAGATAGCGATATCACTTTAAAGTCGCGATTTGAAAACTGACCTAAACTAATATTAAATAGAAAGACGAAGAAATCAATAAAGCAGGTAAGAAAATTATATTTGACCGCGATGGAATCTTTTATAAACAACATCGTTAGCCTATATTTATATTTGCTCTCCAGCTCCTTTTTTTTGCTACGCGTATCGATTGGATTGGCGAGAAAAAAATTAATCCATCACAGCGTGACGTCCGCAATATTTAATTCGTCATTGACACACTTAGCTCATCGCATTGCACGCTCCATGTGCTCTTTTTTGATCCCCTATTGGCTATACTGCGAAGAAACAACGAATCCTTCGCACTCCCCGCCTTGTACAGTCCACCATAGTTTAGTTTAGCATTAAGACACATTTAAACAGTCATCATCTGTATCTGCATGTGAGGAATGTACAGAATAATTTTCAACATTCCGTCTTGTTTACTTGACGGGTCATAAGTATGAAAGTTGAAAAAAGTGAAAACAAGAAGTCATGGCTGATTTTTCAATTTTTTTACACCAACAGTGAATATAGAGAATATGAATAGTGAGCAAAAAGCCACAAGATTTTTAGTTGGAAAAATTTGTATGTGTTCAATTTGAGCTTTTTTTTGCAGGCTTGTGCTTGGACCGATTTATTCCATTTTCACTGCTAATCTGCGTGCAAGAACTTGCAATGTTTTTGCTCAATTTAAAGCCGATAGCGAACTCGAGAACGTTGCCCACGCAGACTTTACATAGAAATACGGATAGACAGACAGGCGAACAGGCGGGCAGACGGACAGACAGACATATTTAAATCAGTTTACAAATTGATGTTGATCAAGAGTGTATGTGCCTAATGTGGCCTCTGAAGCTTCACCATCTAAGTGTTGCGAAGCCCTCATCCGTCAGTGATTCCGAATCATGTGGTTGTAATTGTAACGTCTGATCTAACTGAAAAGCAACTTACGTTATCGTTCCATCTACCGACCACTACTATTATATACTATTCTTTTTATATCATTTCTCTTTTATAAATCTTTACAAAAATTATATTCGTGATCAGTTAAAAATTTCATATGCTTAAGTACTCGGAACTGATTGCTGTTCTATTATTATTGTTAAGTATACCGACAAATACATAACAAAAATAGAAGTAATAAATAAATATCGGGAAAAAATATATGAAAAAGTAACGTGCGAAATACGATATTGAAATATTTCAATTTCAATAAAATGAAAAAATGTGGCGAAAATTTTCATTTCGAAAATTCGTTAGAATAATTTGAGGAATAAGAACAGTCCACTTTCTGAATCAAAGATCATATATATGATGCCTCTTCAATCTTTTTATTTCACTGAATTCGTTCAGAAGAAATATTTTCCAGACATTTACGTGATTAGGTATTTTATGTGATAAGATGTTTTGAAGAAATGCCTTCAGTTAGATTTTTGGTGAATGAAGGAAAATCAAATTCATTATGAACGAAACATGAGACATTGACAATAACACGGAGTATCTTGTATTAATACTTTTAAATTACTCGTTGTTCCGCAACAGTTATATGCCGTAGGTCCCATTAGTTTCCCGTTTACTCTATCCAACGAAGTCTTCTGGTCTTTAAGTCAAGCTGCTGGCTCGTTAAACTTTTATGTGACTTTTCCCTCTTAATCTCTGATCAATGAGTAGGGCCAAGATATTCTGCAAAGTTATTGTTGGAGGAGATATTATGGCCATCCAAAATGGACAAGAACCCTTGGTCAGCTCAAGCATAATATGCGTAAATTTTTTTAGCATTTATTTTCATATTCCACGCGTTCATCTGAAACGAAGAATTTATGGGATCGCAAGATGAAAACAGGACTGCTGTGTAATGATATTTTCCATGATCGGAAAATCTGAAGTGAAATTCGCCTAGAGGGCTGCACTTGGAAGACTTCACTTTCACTTTCATATATATTTTGAATCTGTCGTCTTCAACTTTACCGTAATCCTTTTTACTCTCTTCTCTGACTTCTCTGATGACGTTCCTATATTCCTGAAAACGAACTGCTTGTGCTTTAGAACTGGCAGTAAGTAGTCTTCGTAGATAAATTTTCTCAAATATTTTAGAAAAAACAATCAATAAGCTAATCGGTCTATACGAGCTTGCAACAATTTGTGGGCTATCAGGTTTAGTCATCCTAACTATCTATACGCATTTGCACTGAGTTGGAAAGTGATTCAACCTTAACAAATTGATAAAAATCGATGTTCGAGGAAGATGAGCGGCCTCCTCTTTGAATTCAGCAACTGATATATTTCTGATAGGCAAATTGAAAATGCGACATAGGCTATCTAGAACTTTCAATGTTTTATCTGTGTTTGATATCTCAGAAAGACTGAAATGTCTCTCTTAGATAAAGAGTAAAAATTTCGTCTTTCGTTATAACACTTCTGCATCTATTTCTGGACGTGTCTCTTAAAGGACCAATTCGCTTTGCCAATCGTTTGAAATAAGCAATAAGGCCATCATTATACACTTGTTCGTTTTGGACTCTATCTACGCTTCTTCAATATCGAAGTCTTCCAATACTCTTAGATAGCGTCAGCTGGAGCATTAAACGAGAATTGAAAAAATTAAACAACAAAAACAGCAAAAAGACAATCAATTGTCGAAAAGCAGAATGTGATGAGAAATGTTAAACTGTACGTATGTAGTAAGTAGAAAGCAAGTAGATATTGATAATAGGGTCAAGAAACTGATGAAAAAGCATCAGAGAGAGTAGTAATGTCAAATATCCTCGTTCAGCAAATATGGCGAAGGGAACGAAATAAAAACATTGTTCAATTTTGAAAAAAAGATGAATAAATCGCATAACGGCAATGAAAGTTATTCGGATAAGCACAGACACATCGTTTCTTTTTCTTAATTTCGGGCGTAATGGCGGAGATGGCTTGGCACGCGCATTCGATGACGAGCAATATTTGTACGAAAGATTTAAAAGACGGACAGCCTGATTCGGATAATACTTTTGATTGCGAATCGCGCAGTGTTGAAAGCGAAAAGAACGAAGCTATCTCTTACTTTGACCGCGACGACGATTGTGATGTTGACTATAAACCACCAAAACATTCCGCAAAGACCCGACTATATATCAAGGTTAATTTATAGGGACGTTCTCTCGCAACTTAAGAGTGAGATAAGGTTAATTTTACTAAAAAGGTTAGCAGCAAATACTGAAAGGTCTTCAAGAGAGAAGAATTGTAAAAGCGTAAAAGTAGCGACGAACAGAAACAACAGTGATAGCAGGAGAGACATTTGTATCAGCAGGAAAAGTAATAGTATCCAAGACAGAAGTATGAGTAGCCGAGTAAATAATGATCGCTCAATTCGGTAGAGCTTACTTTGGTCATAGCTATAGTAAGCACTCAGTAAGTAAAGTTACTTCACTTACCGATTGTGCACACAGTTACTAGACTGTCGCCTCTTCCCTATTTCTTTCTTTCTCCTTCCTCACTTATTTCGTATCATTGCCGTACTACACGGTCAGAGAGAGAGAGAGAGAGAGAGAAGAAGGCAAAGAAATATCAGCAACAACAACAACAAGAGGAATCTTAGCGACAACATTAGCCGCACAGTGACATCAAAGATGAATGCCTCTAGTTAGTGCCTAGCGCCGAAGGCTCAGACTACTTTGGTTGCGCGGTGTAGAAATTCATGATAAAGTAATCAGTGAATGAAAACGCATTTGCTCGGCCCATGTAATTAATTCTACCGATCACATATATAAATTTAATGAACGTATAACTGACACTCACAGGCACCGTTATTAGCTGACAAACTTTCAAAATTTACGAACTGCGAAACGGAGAATAATGCTTTCATTTCAGGATTTTTAGATAATGTAAGCGATAGGTTTATTGGCGAGGAAAATAGCACTTGCGACTGAGATGATCTCAATGCACTAATTTATGATAAATTGGTTGAAAATTCTGCAGTGGATAGTAATCAAGACATCGCAAATTTTCTTTGGTTTTACTTAAAGATTCATTTTTTAAATACGCTATCGTTCGTTTAATATCGTTCACTGGCAATAGACAAATAGCCAAATATGTGAAGTTTTTATTACAAAAGGCATTCCAACTCATTCGCTTAAACGATATAAGACAGCCAATGGGAATTGCGAAGACGCCTTTAAAATTGATTTGACCTTATGTAGAGATGTATGTTAAAGAATATAGACTCGTCTAGACGTGTATTTGTTTCGCTGAGCTTTTATGCTGAGACCGTAAAAGCATTGCGTTCCAAAAGAGTGGATGTATTCGACAGCCGGGAAACCCAGCTGACTCCCATGCCTTAACCAAATACTTTGAAATCATGGTTTTTCCGCATTTAAAAAAAAAAGTGACAAAGAAATTTGACAGTGCTGGGGAACTGCTGGCAATAAGGGGTAGTCAGTTTAACGTTAATGTTCATTGATACACGCCTTTGTCTTTGTGTAACATTAAGCATATTTTCAATGAGTTAGCCGGATGCGTAAATCTGAAATTATTAATGGGCCAGATTTGATACCGCCCATACAATTGCGAAAGCATGCGATGTTCGTCCGTACTAGAGACGTAGAGACATTAAACGGATACTGAAAAGAATTGCCCGGATTAGTAAATTGAAAGGGAAATATTAGAAGAAACCGAACCCATATTATATGAATATGTCAGCCGATAGATTAACCGAAACGTTTCGAACAAATGCTAAGAAAATATCGAGAAGTTATGAACGATAGTATCAAACTAGGGCAATAAAAGACGGAGCGCGTATGAGGGGTCGATGTACGACGTAGTCGTCACAGTTAGGCGATTTGTGCGGTTCAGTTGTAACTACGAAGTTATCTACCCACCAGCTGGCATAGCAAAAAACAAAAAAGAAAGAAGAGTAAAAACGCACCGCCGGCACAATTACAGTTAAACTTAGAATTACACAAACGCTAAAAAACATCTTTCCATCTGCATTTATATATATTATAATAAGTTTATTTAAAATTTTAAAATATATACATATATATATATATATATATATTGTATTAGCACACATATATACACATATATGTACATATATATGGCGGTACATTTGCATGAAAAGCAACTACTTATACTGTATACGTCAGTACAATACCAAAATACATATATATCGCCTTGGGGCGAATCTTCGATACCCACTACCTCGACTAAGCATACAAAAGCTATTTGGTTTCTTCTCTCTCTGTGTTTTTCTTTGTTTTTCCATAAGCAGAAGTATTAGTCTGGCGTACATTGCTTTTTATGATCTTTAGTTACATATCGGTTCGATTTTTGTCTTTGGCTTTAAATTTTAGCTACGCAAACTTATAAAGTGGATGGATGCACTTTTTGATAGATTTCTGTACTTTTAAGAAGTCCAGTAGCATACAGACAAAGGGATTGTTGAATAAATGAATTCGTTTTGACGGAAGCAGAAGAATTATGATATTGAATTTATGATCTCGGAAATATTGAGTCCTTAGATATATGAAATGTGTTTCTCCGTATGTATTCCCTGGTAGTGGATATAAAAAATCAGTCTTAAGGCGAAAGTTTCTTATTAAAAAATACACCATTTGGCATTTATTATCAACAACATGCGAGTATTTATCTATGTCTATGCCCATCGTTAGGCCCCTATTCATGGTCATCTACAATTAATGCTTATGCTATGTGCTTATAAATAAGCAGGAAAGTGTTAATGATTTCATTAAATTTTACGGCTTTTATCGGCTCGACTACTCGGCTCGATGTCAAACGGGAGTCTTGCGATGTCTATTTGATGAGTTCTCGTGAAAATTTTTCTTAGCTTCTAAAGATTTATTTATTCACTCATTTATTTATTTTTTTTTTATTGTGGGATAATAATTAAAAAATGGTCTGAATTACTTTGTTGCAGTGAAGTTCTCTTGTTCTAAAGGATATATACCTAGCTATATGTATGTATGTTTGTTTGTATGTATGTATGTATGTATGTATGTATGTATGTATATATATATATATACGTATACACGTTAATGTATATACGAATGCGTGCTTAAACGTTTTCGCTAAGTACATAAAAACATATTAGAGCATGTAAATAAGTGGATGTGTAGATTATCTTGTATTGGTTTCGATTTATCGAATATTTTCGTTCATAGATAGCTCTTTAATGAGATCATTGATTTTGTTGCCACGAGTACCACTGTAGACTCATTTATTTCAGTTAAGAACTTTCGCGCGGTCTTTTTCGAAATTTCTTTCTTTAGTTTGCTCGCCCAAAGTTAATATTTTCTTCTTCCTTTAGGTAGTACGAGTTCAAATAAATGGGCTGAATGTGCGATACAATCGGTAATATCGGTAAAGTCAATATCACGCTTTCACTCTTATGTTTGTTTCCATTATTTGCTTGATTTAGATCAAATGCGTTATCTGATCTAAACGAGCGTTACCTACAAACGTGTCACTTCTGTCACTGTCCCGTTATCGGCGCTGATGGTATTAGTTTGGGTGGTAGTTTGCGTGGATGTCGTTGCATCCGTTTTCGGTTGAGGCAAATGCGAATAGTAACCCATTTGACAGTTGCTATGAGATGGAGGAATTTTTAAATTTTGGTTGATTTGCATTTGGGCAAGTTTAGTTGCTTGTTGTTGTTGCTTCTGATTGGCCATACAATCGCAGGCAGACGGTGTGGCGGTGGTTGTCACTGCAATTAGCTCATCAGTTGATTTAGCAGTTATTGTAGTTGTCGTAGTTGTGACTTGTTCTACAAATTCGGACGGTGGTGGTGCATAGTTTTCAACGTCCATGTAAGTTGAATAACGACCGTAGGGATTTTTCCGCGGTATAGAATGACGCTGTTGAGCCAACTGTAAATTAATGTTAGGCTTAACCGCGACAGTGTCTAAATATCCATATCCGTAAGCATAGTCTTTGGCATTGGCGGCTGTTAAATTGTCCCACGATTTTGGTTTGTGTACATAAGCAGCAGCAGAATTCGGATAAATTTGGCTTGGTTGAACCTGTGTTGCCGTTATATGGTATCGATGATGATATAAATTTTGCAAATAATGATGTTGTTGTTGTTGTTGTTGTTGTTGTTGCTGCTGCTGCTGCTGCTGCTGCTGTTGTTGTTGTTGTTGTTGTTGTTGTTGCTGCTGTGTCTGTGGCTGTGAATAATGATGATGTGGATGATGGTGTTGTTGCTGCAACTGCTTTTGCTGTTGTTGCTGCTGCTGTTGTTGTTGAGCTGATTGACGGGAAGTGGTTGAGTGCTGGCGTGAGGCAGCGACATTATCACTTTTTGGATCCCAGAAGAGCGTGTCCGTGCTAATGGAAGTGGTGTAAGACGAAGTATCCGGCGCCTGAAATTCATTAGAGGTGCAAGAGTGCAAGCTGCAGTGGCTCGCTAAACCAGAAGCTAAATCAAAATAACGCGATCGTACGCTACCGTTCTGTGAATCACAACCGTGCGACGTTTTATGATGATGATGATGTTGATGCTGTGGTTGTTGTTGGGGTGTTCCATGGCAGTGATGCGGATGTTGGTTTAAATTTTCATGATGATGATGATGATGTCGTGTCGCAATGCTCGGGGATATGTGACTTTGGGATTTAGGACGTGGTGGCCTATCCTTAGTTTCGCGGTCTCGATCTCTATGCTTATGTTTATGAGTATGATTTTCTTTGTGATGATGGCGGGTGCGTCGTCGCGTAGGAACACAATGCGTGTCGCAGCATGGACTCGCTAAATCGTAAGCATCTAAGCTAACATTGTCTGCCTGAGCAGCTGTCGTACTTGCTTTTTCAGCCGACTTCCATCTAAAATCAATGCACGGATTACAGGAATGACCATGGCAGTGTTTAGATTTCTGAACTTTTGGCGGTGTATTCGATTCAGGTTTTAAATCGCGCGCCTTAATCGTTTGCTGCTGGTTGGTTGGACGATTTGCCTGCTTGTGTTTCTCACAAGTCCGGGATGCTGGGACCAGAGCTGTGTGCGAAGTACTACTCCTTCTCTGATTTTGAGAAAATTGAGAAGCAGTGACTGGGGCGATCGTGGTATCTTCCGATTCAGTACGTGGTAGACGTTCACCGACTGTCACGAAACAATCACCACTACTGTTTGTGGTGGAATTGGATGGCTTCATAACATAGCGATATGTCGGGTCAAAGTAATGATACGAGAGCATGAATTGAGCTGGTGGTGGTATTATTGTTTGTTGCGCTTGACGTGTAATATTGCCAACGTCTTCCGTCGACAGCGTGGAACGGTAAAAAGGTAAATTTTGTTCACCTTCTGAGGGTGAATTACCGGGATCCGTACCATCAATTGGTGAAGTGGTTGTTCTTTTGCGGGCAGGTAGGCTATGAGTCTTCCATTTACCTTCAAGTAATTCACGTTCATGCAAGCACACTCGTTCCAATTCGTTCATTTTGCTTTGCAATAGATTTTGTAATTGTATGTAACGCATATGAAGTTCCACCTGATATGATTAGATCAGAAAATTTTTTATTCTACTTATGTACACAAATTTCAATATTAAGTATACTTTTAATAGCAACATACCTTACGTACACAATCTTCGAAAAGTACAACCATACGCATACGTGTATCGCAGCTTTTAATGTAATCAACTAGAGTCTTATGATCCGCTTTTTCCATGTCTTCGCCGTTAATGGCCAATATAACATCGCCTTCTCTCATACCAGCTTTATACGCTGGTCCGTCATACTCCACGTAATCAACGTAAGTGATCATTTCAACTTCTTGATCCTTTTTGTAATGTATTCCATAACTTTGTAATGTGAAGCCGAACGAATCATTTTTTTTCTCAACGATTATAGTTCGACGTCTGCGAGTCTCATCAACTTTCGATGCTAGAAAACGTTCCGACTTAACACGACCCAGTAAATGGGTCGACTGGGAAAGCTGTGATAAATAAGTAAATGTACATATATATATATATATATATATATATTATATATATCGTTGTTAGTTAAACTTCCATAATTATTCCTTAATGTTCAAGTTTATTTAAAAGGCTCTGTCTCCCAAGGCATTCACATAATTATATGGCACAATTTCTTATATGTATGGGCATGTGTGTGGTCGCTTTCTACTCTTTGCTTATATGTGAAAAACGGTTATTAAATATTAAAATTCATTACGCTCCGTATGAACGGAATGCAATATAGAACAACAAATAGCCACAAGTAATAAAGCTTTACACGAGCGCTCAGTAGACAACGGAAGGGTTAAATGTTTACATGCGAAAGAGAAACTAAAAAACTGCATTAAAAATTTACCCATGTGTACGAGAAAAATCAAAAGTGCATAAACCACGCGTTGAAATAATCTAAAACATGATTCTATTCAAAGGGTATACATAATGACGTAACATATCAACACCTATTTATGTATGTAAATATGTACATACATAATACATCACATGTATACACCTTCATATATGTTACACATTTGAAAATAACGCATATAATTATGGCTTGAATGTAATCGATCATGTTACATTGATCGGTAGTGATAAACTCTGATTGAGATAAATTACACGACAATAGAAGAGTAATTAGTGTTTCATTATTAATAGCGTGACTGGATAAATGCGGCCCTAAATGCAGTGCACTTTTACTAACTCTTCCAAGAACTAGAAATGGCATTCAATTTTTATGGTCTCTGAATAGTCAACGGATGTTTAATAATCAAATACAATGTAGTTACGGGCAAGTGAACATCGCTTTATTATGCGAAATAATTATGTTTTACAAAAATATAAGAAAGCATGAGGGCAGATAGTTAGCTTTGTCTCTTTCGGGAACTATAATAAATGGAAAAAAATGGGAAATGAAATTAATTCGAACTTAATTAAATATTTTGACTATTTTGATCGATTCTTTTAGAATGATTACCGAAAGCCCGAAATTATGTTCGCTTGGTAAAATTTTATTTAACGCGCAGAAGTATGCTACGGAAATATACAAAAATTGGTCTAGTTTCGCAATTATGGACGTATCTGTAATTTTTAGCAGAGTTACACATATACAGTTCGTTCATACGATTAATTGTGAACGTCTTCTAGGCCTTGCATAGTTTTTGGCATAAAGCGTTACTGAATATTTCAAGAATTCTTAACAGAAACGCTGATAAATTAAATTACAATTGATTGAATAATAATCAATGGCGCCCTTGGCATATGAAATTGTAACTTGGACGACAAATAGACAAACTTTTGATATATTGCTCCCGGTTTCACATATATTTTGCATTATTATGTTTAGTAAAGCAGATTGCTTTTTATTATTGGATATAGATAGATATCCAAAAATACTTGGTCTTGACTTAGTTTCTGAATTTCTTAAAATAAATTTTATTAATAATGAAAAAACGAGCATGAAACTGAAAATGAATATCATCCATACTGTCAACGCTGTAAAATTCCGCTTATAAACTACTATCCAATAGGAACTTTTTCGCATTCTTTACTCAGCTTTTTTAATTCATTGTTTTATCGTCTGTGAAGTTTAAGTTCAAACGCGCGCACACAAAAACACACTCACATACCCCCTCCTCCCCCCGGTCTCACAAACGCGTAACTTGTACGCCTTACCACCGATCAATTCGCAATATATATTAGTGCAATGTAAATTGAAATATGTGAAGTAAAAATTTTGACAAATTCGAATATACTTTTGTGTTTTCACCTAATAACAATGATAAATGAAAGTATCCAAGAGCAAACGTATAGTCTTATTGCGGTTTAGGCATTTCATGCGTTCTCGCGGTAAACGTACAAACGGATGTACTTCACAACAGACATATGCAAAAGGTTTGATTATGTCGAGCACATGATATGTACAATACAAAATCCTGTCAAAATATTAAAAATCGCGAAACTTTACTGTTCGAAGCGTTTATCGTACGTTTTTTTTTTCCTAAGTTTGGCTGAGTTCACTTACCTGTGAATAGTCGATTTCCTCGTCGCTGGCGTCTAAACTTTTATGCTTATTATGGTACTTTAAGCGACCTAAGCTACCGGTACCAGGTATATAATGACCGTTACCGCCATTACCATTGCTATTGCCGCCTGCACGCAATGTAGTTCCGGCACTCACACTGACTCTAGCAATGCTCTGACAACTACTGCTTATAGGATTAACTGTGGCCATGATAAAAAAAAACTTTCCTTTCCTCTTATTTTAACGACAATGCATTCAGTTTGTGTATGCAGTTTTTTTTTCCCCGTTATCGATTTGTTGCATGAATTTCATGAAAATCTTCTTATACTTCTTTAAATTTAAAATCTGTCTTTCAAGTCTGAACTTCACCGGGTTATATAATTATTTACGTAAAAAAATTTACGAATTATTTTACAAATTCTATTCTTAGATAGACTCTACGCAATTTATTTCCCTAACGTGCACGCAAATTGTTAAAGACTTGGATTTATCTCTTTAGAGTATTTTCTGTTAGTCTTCTTTGCTTAATTTGGCTTAAGCAATTAAAAAATTGCTAAAATTCTTGCACTTATTTATATAAATTATCTATGTATATATATATATTTTTTATCTATGTATGTACATCTTATATATATATATATATATATATATATATAAAAGATTAAAATTTATATATGCGTGCGTATAAGCGCTTGACTAATAATTTTTTGGTTAATCGTTTTAAGAGTTCTGTCACAAACTGCGTATACAGTTGTCATGAATACTAAAATGTATATCCATCAATACGTAGAGACAAATCCACCACTATTCGCGTACTCAATAATATTGTCGGGTTTGGTTACGTTATCCCGTTATTCTCTTTTTACATTATATTTTCTCCTTTTCCGTTTGTATTCTTTTTAATTTTGCTTTTATTTTTTTTTATATTTTTTTAATTTGGTTTTCGCTCTTTGCTGCTGCATGTAATAAATGCTTATTCAACTGGGAAGCGGAAACGTTACAAACGACAGTTGAGAGTGATTAAGTGTGATAACGGTGAATGGGTTTTCTTTACTGTTATTCATTCAAATCATATGACGGAACCAGTGTTACCAAGTATTTATTCATTATTGTTGTTGAAATTTGATCAAAAATCAGAAATTATATCGATAAAACACAAAATAGGCTCACCTTTTTTTTTTTTTGCTTTCGTTCTTTTGTGTGCTATTTTTTTTTTTTTTTCTTCTTCTAATTTTTAATAAAAACTAAACGGTAGATGATATTAACATGAATTTTCTTTTCTTATCTTTGACATTGGTGTTGTTGCGACTTTTATCTATCCTCGGGTTATATGTAAAAATTCAATTGTCGAACTATTTGCTTTTCTACATAAAATTGCTGCCATTGACACCCCCAGAGCAAAAAGTCGAACGTTTCTTCGAACAACTTGATTTCTTCAAAAAAATGAAATGTTGCACCACTTTATTCAAGTCGTAATTATCGAACTTTTGCCATAAAAAATCAATTATCATTTTTCTTTAGCCCATAAACAACACTCAGAAGTAAATTTTGTACGCGTACAGGCCTCAAAAAATGTGGCAAAGGGCCAATAATTCTTATTTACAAAGTCATTCAAACAAATATGAGTTTCATTCATCATTTTCGTAATAAGTTTTACAAATTTTTATACGCTGCACAATTATGTATGTATTTTGTTCTTTGAATAATGGCATGGTCTCCACACTACATTTTTAAAAAAAAACAGTACGATGCAAATCTAAATCAGAAGTGTGTCTTATTTATGTTTACTTTCGGAATCGCAGAGTGGATGAGACCTTTATTATATAAAAAACAATATTCGATTTTACCGTTTAAAGGTGAGTGCAGGTGAGGTGAGCAATTTTCATAGCCTTACAATGCAAGTTTTGTCCTTCCCCTTTATAATAATTGAAAATACTCAATGGGAGTTTCGGTTCAATTACATAAGCACTCTGCAGTTCATTGAACAATAATACCTCTCAGGCCTCTGTCTGCCTTCTGTATCGTTCAAGTGCAACACGGGCGAAGAAATGTATTATGCGACGCAGAAAACAAAACCACTTTCAAATCAACATATTTTTCATTTATTTAAATTCTAAACTGTTATCGTTTCAATCTCGTTTCAACATATTACTTTCGCTGCCTAAAAGCGTGCACAGTCGAAATTAATTAATAAATTTGCCGTCTTTGGCAAAAGTTATCTTTTATGGCTAATAGAAACTCGAGTGACTTCATAGACTTGAGTCTTTGATTTTTCTAACAACTGTTAAGTATTACACATTTCCCCTCAACTTGGCTTTACGCGAGTAGTAAATGGATAGGTGAACGGTTCCATACGAACTTATAGAGAAATTATAATGAATGTTTGCAATAGCCTTCTCACATAAGGGCATGCAATGATTTTCCAACGAGTTGGATCTATCGATTAAAATCGATCTATTATAGGCTTCCCTCATCACTGAGATTTCAGTTTATACTCAGCACCAAAGGATGACGGGTATGTTCATGGTGTCGAAATCTTTGAAAGGTCCAGAAGGAATCCTTAGAGACCCCAAATAGTAAATATATTCTTGATCAGCATCAAATTTTGGATCGATTTAACCATATCCGTCCGTCTGTCTGTACGCAAAAATGCCAGTAATCGATTTCGAATTCTGCTCAAAGATTGAAAGTTCTTGCACGTAGATTTGCATTAAAATTGGGACAATTCGGTTGAAGGACTCGCCTATAGTACCATGTGAACTGTGAACATTTGTTTTTCAAAAGGAGTAGAAAATCAGATTCCACACAGATAAATTTACAAATACTTAGACGTATATTCTATGGGCGATGCTATAGTAGTTCCAAAAAAAATTGGTAAAGATCGGCCGCGCCAACTCAATTTTATAGTTTGTCATAATATCATCTTTTTTTCCCAATACTTTGATATAACGGGCAAAAGCAAGCATTAGAAACGCCATAAAGGGTGTAATTTCTTGCTCAATCTCAAATTCGGAATACACTTAAGCATGTCCGTCCGTCTGCCCAGCTGTGTATTATGTGTGGCAAACATTCTCTCTTTCGCAAAAATGAAGATATCGTCCAAAAACTTGCAAAACGATTTGAAAATGAACTAAACTTTTCAAAGAGTACGCCTACAACGCGCACACGCCTATATAACAAACACATTGAATATTTTTTGCTTTCCCTCTCCCTTGCTTGTTGCTCGCGGACTACAACAGATACACGATATAAATTTGCACAAAATTATTCTACAAAAAGATGATAACAATGAAGGGGGTAAAGAATTCGGTCGTCGGCAACCGAGTATCATTTTCATACTTGTTAACAATGCTACTCTTTTGTCGCGTACGGAGCATATCGCCTCGTCTTATAGACATTCTATATCAAAGAGATTCGGTCATTGTATGTTCGTAAAAAAAAAGGTTTTAACCCGAGAGGTTTGGAAAATTCTTTCGTTACGGCTTAAGGTTAAGTTATGATCAACGATTACTTGGTTTCACTTTTCGTGTTTTTTTTGTTTTTGATTTTTTGTTTTGTTTTTTTCTTGTGCAAAGTGTTCTTAACGGCTTATAGCGATAATAATAAATTGTCGTCGATGGCGGAAATAACTTAAAGGCGATGTAGTGTAAATTTTATTGAAAAGTTCGCGACGCGTTCATATAATGCAAATTAATTTAAATAATTGTCCTGATTATACTCACTCCTTTGCGTGTTAAGGAGAGACGTCCAAAGGAGATCTCTTCCTATTCGATAGCACAAATTGAAGGCTGCGATATGATTTATGATGGAATTGAGCAAAGCTTCACTCGGTAGTTTCGATAGCTTGTGCTGAGCAACAGAGGCAATTAAATGTGTACGCATATGGGATGAAAATGACTTGGGTATGCGGTTTAAGTGAATGCGATCTGAGCATGGACCCCAGAAACCTTGCTATTCCCACAAAAAATTAAACAACACGCAATTTCGAAAAGACGGAAATGCCTCTATTTTTTTTTTTTTTTTTTTTTTTTTTGCTTTTTTTTTCTCATAGTTTTATTTTCAGATATTATTTATTCTATTTTTTATTCACTTTTTTCATTCATTCATATAGCTTTCTTTTCTAGATTATTTCCGTTTATTTTGTTTTTATTGTTTTTTGTTTGCTTTTTTTTTTTTGTTTTTTTTTTTTTTTTTTTGTTTTTTTTTAATAAATATAACATAAGAGCATATGTGTTCATGTATGTGTTTAGTTTTATTTGAATTTCTCAATTGTTGCAGTAAAAAAGAGGATAAATAATAAATAAAAACGTTTAAACGTCATTGTTCTGTATAAGGAGGTGTATGTGGGAATAAAAAATGAAATTGTTAACACTTTCTTATACATAACAATTACAAATGCAGTTGGTGTGACGGGATGAAAGAGATGAATTAATGTACTTAACAACGAATAAATACAATTATGAAAAAAAAAAAAAAATTGTAATAATAATAATAATAATAATAATAATAGTAATAATAATTATAATAGTAAACATTTAAATATAAATTACTAAGATTATCTTTATCTAATGATTATCTTTATCTTTATATTGAATTTTTGCGTGTGCTTGTGAAGTGAGTGTTCATTAGTACACTTTATATATATATATGTATGTTTGCTTATATATTATATATGTAAAATTTCCTGTCTCTACAATACATAAGAATATAAAAATTATGTTAATATACAAATTATCAAAAAAAAAACTTAATTATTATTATATTTTTGGTATAAGTGGTGCATTTTTTCCATATATTATCCGTGTTGGTTTGTGTATGTGTTTTTCTTCTTTTTTTTTCATTTATGTGTGTGTCATTACTTATTGAGTACTCTGTATGTATTGCAAGTGTGAATAAGTATATAAATATGTATGTATGTATGTTTGTATGCATATTTACATCATCGAAGTATTTTATAAAAGCAGTACATTTTCATTTAAAATCCGTGTTTCTATGGCTAGTTAAGCGGTTAGATATAAATTAAGATGACCACTAAGTAGTTCACATACGATATAATTATAATTAATTATAATTTCTTTCATGTCGAATAAGTTAAAAGAAGTGAAGAGAGTGATATTCGTCTTGGAACGAATCTTAATATTCCTTAACTTAAATACCGTTTGTTCATTTCTTATGAAGAGGTCAGTCGGCCAATTGGTTTCAACAAGTTTTACAAAGAGTCTTCAAATGATAAATATTTAAAGCTACATATCAGTTCGACATCTCCCACATTGTCTATAGGTTGTTGTCCTATTTGCATGTGATTATATTACTTACTTACTTACTTACTTACTTACTTATTAAAACTACTTTCTTTCTTTCGAGATTATTTGAGTTTACAGCTAGCTATTCTACCTAATGGTTAGCTAATCGAATTCAATTCTTAAGTTTGTGTTTATGAATATCATAATTCATAGAAATAAGTAATCAAGTAACGTTATCCAATCGATATTTTTGATGGCTTAAGACTCAAAAAGACATGGACGAACGGACAGATAGACTAATTAAATGGAAATAGAAAGTTTTTCACATTTTAAAGACATCGCAGATGTTTATATTTTTTGACGACAAACAATATGACATATTTCATAACTTCTCATTGTCTAGCGGTCTATGTAAAAAATATGACATATAAAGATAACAATTGAACCAATGAATCAAGTTATCAGGTCCATAATTTACTGTGCTGGAGGACATACGGTGAGAGAGAAAGAAAAAACAATGTTGGAAAAAGTGAATGAGTGAGTGAGTGAGTGAGAGAGAGAGAGAGAGAGAGAGAGAGAGAGAGAGAGAGAGAGAGAG